TAGGATTGCTGGAGTCCAAGGTGGAAATATGTGCTACTGGGCATGTCTCACTTACCCTTTCTCCACATTGGGTTCCCAGCCAATCCCAACTGAGCAGGCTCCCTGGCTTCCTTCTCCTTCCTTGCTTTTGCTGTTTCATGTCACTTCTCTGTTGAATTCTCTTAGATGCTCTATTTGAAGTATAATTCTCTACCTGCTATTTGGGTTCTTCTTTGTGAAGGAGGTGGCAAGTACCAGATGGCTCTAGTCAGCGACCTTGAAGTCCCCCTTCTATGGAGATTCTTTTAAAAAAATTAAATTATGGATGGTGACGTTTATGGAATGCAGTTTATGATTAGAATGATCTTATCATTTTAATTATTTATGTTGTCAATGAGTAAATGGTTAGTTTTCTAATATTAAACTATTTTACATTCTTAGAGAAACTGAATATGGTCATAGGTATATTATCTTTTTGATATCTCAAAATTTGTTTGCTTATATTTTGTTTAAGATTTCTTTATAGATATGCATGAGTAGAATGGGCCTGTAATTTTTCTTTCTTGTATGTCTTTGTCTGGTTGTCTGGTTTAGGTATTAAAGTTATAGTAGTCTCAGAGAATAAATGAGGGAGGGTAGAAAAAGAACAAATACCTCCTTATTTATCTTGGATAAAATGGAAATGATCACTTCTTTGAAAGGTTGATAGAACCTGTCTATAAAACTTTGCACTCCTACCTCCTTTTTTATGCAAAGGGATTTTAAACTATTGCTTCAGTTTATTTACGATTTATAAGACTATCTAGAATTTTATTTCTTTTTGCATCAGTTTTGACAAATAATACTTCCCTAAGAATCTTTCTATTTGTATCTACATTTTGAAATTTACTGGGATAAAGTGGTTGATCTTTTTAATGTCTGTTTTATTGAAGAATGTCAACTTTTTATTCATAAGATTATTTATTTCTAACTTCCTTTTTATTGGTTTTATAAGACTTGACTATTTTGTTAGTCTTTTCAAACAGCTAACTTTTGCTCTGTTTAGCTTCTCTATTTTTTTGTTTTCTCTTTCATGGGTAGCTGTTTTTATCTTTATTATTTTCTTCGACTTTAAGTTTACCATTTGGTTCTTTTTCTTCCTTTTAAGTGACACTTAGCTCATCAGTTTTCAATGTCTCTTCTTTTCTGTTGTGTTTAAAGCTATATATCTCCCCTGAATACTTTTGCTGTATCCCAGAGGTTTTAATATGAGATACCTTTATCTCTCTGCTCTAAGTATTTTAAAATTTTTGTCATAATCTCTTCTTTGACCGTGAGTTTTATAATTATATGTTTCTTCAATTCTGGAATATTTTAAGCCACTTTCTCTCTGAATAGCGTTTTCACCCCATTTGGTATCATCTCTCTTCCCAGAACTCCTACATGTATGTTGGAACTCCTTATGTTATCTTCCTTGTGTTTCTTTAGTAAGTTCTTTACCAGAGGCAGACTCAATGGACAAGTCATGTTTTCCACATCCCTATGATTGCATCCCCAACCAGTCAGCAGGACCCATTCCCTGGATCCCTTCCCACCAACCTACCCTTGAAAAACCTTAACCTCTGAGCCTTTGTAGAGACTGATTTGAGTGACAGTTCTGCATGACTAGTCTTGCATTAATTAAACTGTTTCTTTACTGCAAAAAATATTCTTTAATAATATTAAACATATTGTCAACACAAAAATGCTCAACATCCATCACTAATCATCAGGGAAATGCAAATTAAAACCACAATGAGATACCACCTTATTCCTGCAAGAATGGCCGTTATTAAAAAGCCAGAAAAGCCAGGCTTGGCAGCTCACGCCTGCAACCTCAGCACTTTGGGAGGCTGAGGCATGAGGTCAGGATATCAAGACCATCCTGGCTAACCCAGTGAAACCTCATCTCTTTGTAAAAATACAAAAAATTAGCCGAGTATGGTGGCATGTGCCTGCAGATTAAGGCCATCTTGGTTAACACAGCAAAATCCTCTCTTTGTAAAAATACAAAAAATTTGCTGGGTGTGGTGGCATGTGCCTATAGTCCCAGCTACTCAGGAGGCTGAGGTAGGAGAATCACTTGAATGTAGTAGGCAGAGGTTGCAGTGAGCTGAGATTGCACCATCGCACTCCAGCCTCAGCAGAAAGGCAAGACTATTTTTTTTAAAAAGCCAGAAAACAATAGATGTTGGCATGGATGTGGTGAAAAGGGAACACTTACACACTGTTGATGCGATTGTAAATTAGTACCGCCTCTGTGGACAACAGCATGGAGATTTCTTAAAGAACTAAAAGTAGATCTACCATTTGATCCAGCAATCTCACTACTGGGCATCTACCCAAAGGAAAAGAAGTCATTATATCAAAAAGACACCTGCATAAGTGTATTTATTACAGCACAATTCACAATTGCAAAGATATGGAACCAGTCTTAGTGCCCATTAACCAATGAGTGATAAAATATATATATATATGTGTATATATATGTCTATGTGTATATATAGGTGTGTATATATATACGTACACACACACACACACACCATAGGGTAATAGCCATTAAAAAAAAAGGAAATGTCTTTTGCAGCAACTTGGATGGAACTGGAGGCCGTTATTCTAATTGAAGTAACTCAGGAACAGAAAACCAAACAACATATGTTCTCACTTATAAGTGGAAGCTAAGCTATGGGTATGCAAAGGCACACAGAGTGATATCATGGACTGTGGAGACTCAGAAGGGGGAACATGGCGGGGTGGTGAGGGATTTAAAAAAAGCTATGTATTGGGTGCAATGTACACTACAGGTGACAGGTGCACTAAAATCTCAGACTGCACCACTATACAGTTCATCCATATAACCAGAAACCACATGTACCCAAAAGCTATTGAAATAAAAATAAATAAATATTTGGCAAGAATAAAAAAATATATTGGCTTGGAGTGCTCGCTTTACATTTAAGCTGTATGAATTCAGGCTCCTCACCACAAATGGCATGAGTCTATGGCTTTACTTTCTCATAGATGTCTTTTCCCTCCATCTACAGCCCTGTGGATGGCAGGCTTTTTTCCTCCTCTCCTGCGCTGATGAGAAAGGTTTTTCTAGTTCTTTTCACATGATCGGCATGCCTCTGGGGGTCCGAATTTGTGCAAGGAGTTTAGTTGCTTCTCTTGCCTTGCATGAGCTGTTATGTCTTCTCTGTTTGTAGGAATGGTGAACTCAGCTGGAGCCACTGAGGCTCTGTTCTGATTCACCTGGGGCTCCTGCTTACTCCCGTGCTCTGGACATCTTACTTCTTTTTTCTGGAATGTGAGAATTTGCTTTCTTGCTCTAGAACTTGATTATATATTTTAAAATGTTTCCTTTTTGTGTATATGCTTTTGCAGGCGGAGGGGCCCTTCTGCATCACCTCAGCCCATATTGCTGCACCTTAATATAAGAAACAGAGACCACGGGGTCCATTGGCACATACACAGCAGAAATAGGAAGAGAAATCTCAGAAGGAGCTGGGAGGAGCAGATAGTAGGAGAAGAACAAGAGAGAGCTTGTCCCTTGGGAGCCAAGAGGAAACAGAGCTTTGAGAAAGGTCCTTTTGTGGGATGTGTGGCCAGCTTTTCCCAGGTGTGGCATGTTGTTCACCTTGCAGACTCAAGAGTCTTCTTTGAAATGAAAACTCAGAGGCACAAAAGCAGAGAGATAGGCTGAAATTATAAAGGGAACCCAAGGCACTACACACTGTCTTTCTCAATCTCCCTCCCTCCACCCACCTTCCTTCCTTCCTTCCTTCCTTCTTCCTTCCTTCCTTCTCTTTTCTTTCTTTTCCTTCCTCCCTCCCTCCCTCCCTCCCTTCCTCCCTCTCTCTCTTTCTTTTTCTTCTTTCGTTCTTTCTCTTTCTCCTCTCTCTCTCTCTCTCTCTCTCTCTCTCTCCCCCCCCTCCCCCTCTCATTACTCTCCAGGGAGAACTGCTTAGGAGTAATTTGGAAACTTCTAGCTGGTCTTGCAAACCTGGGAGGGACTCTTCCTTGCTTCTGTACCAACACCATCCCAAAGGAACTTCAGAGGCCGCAGGAGGGTGGTGTGGTTTTGCATGTTGCTGCCTGCTCTTGCCCTTCTCTCGGTGTCTCCCTCTGCATCTGGTTACTTTGGGGCTGCCTGTGACATCTGTGATAAGAGCAAAACCCACATTGCTCAGATCCTGTTCTTCCCTTTCCCCTCCTTTCCTCCTGGATGACTCTTAGCCATTCTGTCTTTGAATCGTGCCTTTCCCGCATCCCAAATCTCACAAACACACACACTTCAAGGTTCTTTTTAGGGTCTAATTGGAAAGCATTTGGGCTTCCATTTGGAGGAATCTCATTTCTGATTCTGTGGATTTTCATGGCTGTGAGAACATCTTCCAGCTTGGAATGTATGTCGGCTGCACAGGGTGAAAGAAGCTGTGTGCATGTGTGTGTGAGCCTGCAACAAGAAGGCTTGGCTTTTACATCACTTCCTAAGTTTTCAAACAGTGACCATTTCATATCATCTCTCTACAATTCTGGAAGTGAGTAATGCTGATATCAATATTCCCATTGTATAGATGAGAAAACTGAGGCCTAGAGAGGTGAAGTGACTTCTCCAAAGTCCACAGTAAGTTAGAGCTGTATTCATTGTCTAGGCATCCGGCCTCTAAGCCTTGTGCCCTTCCCTATGCTCCATGCTGCCCACACTTGTTTGTGCAGGCTTAAGCGGAGACACCTACTTTCTGTCTACACCCAGGTTTCTGTCAGCCTCATCACAAGCATTCCATGAAGCCTCCCTGCCCCTTGCCCCACCCCACAATGGCATGTCATAGACTAGGAGAGACTTCTCTCCTCCCTTTTCTCTCCTGGCCCCTGTGTCTTTTAGACATCAGCTGCTGTTGCTGGCAGACCTCATACAAAGGCAAATGAATTGCTGACCCCCTCAGAGAATTCATGACATTATATTTTAAAGCAAGTCTGGGTAGAAACAGTGGCCAACATCATCTCTCTTAGCATTACATTTTATTGAATATAGACTTACGACCTTTACATAGTTTGAATATAATGCTTACAATATACAGTTCTTTAATCATACATATATTTCTTCAAAGCACAAAACTAGAAATTAAAATGGAAAGGCTATACACATGTATATATTGCCATAAATCTAGAACTATTATATAAAAATAGAACTCAAATATTAACTTTATATATTTTAGCAACTTAGCAGTATTGTAAGGTGGCCACATACATTTTATTATCCATCAGTGTTCCAAATGACTGTCTCATTTTCCATCTCTTTGGGGACACCTGGAGTGGGATCCTTTCCCAGGATGCCCGCAGAGATGCCCTTGGCCATGGCTCAGTGTTGCCTTTGCATAAAGACTCAGTGTACCCGTCTGTTCTTGGAGGGGGAAGGCCAGCTTCCAGCCTCTTCCTCAGAGGGAGGAGGTGTTCCCTCCTGCTGAGCATTTACTGTTTGCGCTTCTCATAGCCCTCACAGTGCATAGTTTGATATCTGAATGTACAGAGTAAGTTACCTTTCCATGTGCTCAGAGAATAGCAGATATGAGTTTAGGTCTGTCATATCAGTGTAAAGAGTTTAAAAGAAAACCACCCAAACAATGCCCACTGGGGTAAAGTCATCCCAAAGGTAGGCCCCACGAAGCCTCCCTGGCCCTGCTCAACCCCATAATGGCATGCCATAGACTAGGAGAGACTTAGTTCTCTCCTTCCTTTTCTCTTGTGGCCCCTGTGTCTTTTAGATATTGGCTACTGCTGCTGGCAGATCCCAGGCAAAGGCAGATGAATTGTTGACCCAGCAAGGTCCTAGACACACATGCTCTCCAGTCCTCATAATCTTGCAAGTGGGGACATTCTTGTTCTCATTTGACAATGGAGGGAATTGAGTCTCTGGGCATGCGTGTCATTTGGCTAAGATTGGTAGGATTGCCTGGCCCCATAGCTGAAGCTCTCTGCCTGCCCAGAAATCTATGGAGGGAAAGGAACCAGAGGAGAACTTGGATCTGCACCATGGTTATTTGGAGAGACCAGACAAGTAGCTTTGGGCCAACTTACAGTAGGTGAGCTGCCTTTCCCTAGAAAACCCCAGGATCCTTGTGCTGCAACTTCCTAAGCAGAGCAGGAAGGTGGCCATGGGAGGGAAGGAGTGTGAAGCTACAGACCAATGACTTAAGTTTGTGTGTTCAAAGGGCAGTGCCCAAATTTCCCACATCTAATAGATATCTTCCATCTAAAACCAGGGGTTCAAGGAACTCACTTCTTGAGGCTGCTGTGTTTTCAAAGAGCTGAGCAAAGGTCAAATGCCTACCCCTCCTCTGCTGGCCTGTGATAGTGCAGGCCCAAGTGTGGAGAGCCTTCACAGTGGCCTGAAGAGGGGGCACCTGCAAGATCCCTGGGCTAGAGCGCAGTGCTCAGCAGAAAGCAGCAGGATTGGAGGGATGTGGAGCAGAACACATGGACTCTATGCTGTAGATTTCTCTGGTTGCTTTCTCACTCCCTTACCTGCCCTTTAGACTTCCCATAATAATGTGTTCCAATGGGAAGTTCCTCCTGCATCTCCACTGTGATCACAGTCTCTTGGGACATCTCAAGTCTGCTTCTGCTGACCTGCCTGTCCCGCCCATGCTGGAGCTGGGTCTGAGGCTGGTTCTGGATGAGGCCATGCCTTCCTCCCAGCCTCGCTCTCTGCCAGCTGTCCCCTCAGACCTTGAGGCCAGCAGAGAGCCCTGCTTATGCTTTGCCACATGGGTCTTTGTCAGAGTCCCTGGATAGTCTGCTCCAAATAAAGGAGCCCATCTGCCTAAGGGTCCTGCTTGAATCACTACGATTTTCTGAAATTAATTTCAGGGTGGTTTTCTTAAAAATATCTGTCTTAAAACAACACAAACAGAAAATCCCAAAGTAACCATCTCTCTTCTCCACCTATTGGAGCATGTACAATGGGGAGGAGAGGGGAAAAGATGCAGAAAAAATGTAAATGGCAGCACCCCGGGAAGGGGCTGAGTCCTCCACAAACCCACCCGCACCAGGCACCATCTGCTTGGGGCTGTGCAGTCTACTCCTCTTGGACTGGCTCTGATGCTACCTGCTGAGCAGAGAGTGGCAGCAACTCCAGGGCAGTCACAGATAAGTTTTTTTTCCTTTCAGAATAGCTGGACATTATTTTCTGAGCTCACCAGAAGGCTGCCCCTGGGAGCGAAAGCGGAAATGTGTTTGTGAGCCCAAGTCAATATATTTTAAATGGACTTGGGCTCTATGGTGTGTGTAGGAGGAGCAGGTGCTTGCAGAACTGTATGGCTCAGTGGAGGCACCAAGAATGCCATGATTGGAATGCTCTGAATCTCAAAACAAAGCCTCCTCCTCTCCCTGCAAAAAGAAAAGACGTAATGACCTGGAGTTAGCCTTTTTCTTCCTAGCTCATTTAGGTACATTGCATGTAATAGGGTGACTCATTCTTTCGTTGGGCAGAAGCATCACCTGGACACACTAGGCTCTGCTGGGGAAGGAGACATGAACACTAAGTTTCCAAGGACCACAAGAGTCCTCAGTATAGCTCCCCAGTGCATCCACGCTACCTCCTGGACAGGCTGTTCCCATTTCCCAGTGCGCAGGCTCAAAGGTACCTTGAAAATGACCATTCCCGTGCATAAAGAGGGGACCCTTTCCTCCCGACACTCCGGCTCTGTGTGATGTCTCTGTGTGGTCTGTGGGTTGGATCCTGAGGATAGGGAGCTGCAGAAAGCTGGGGTGAGGGATGGGAGCGGGGATTGGCAGGGTCTGACTGCTCTAGAGGCTGGGTCCAGGAGGTGAAGCCTAGTGGTAAGAGTTAAGGTTGGTGTCCCTTGCTGGGCCTCGTGGCTTTTTCCTTTGTTGCCAGTGGCTTGCTCTCGGCAGGCAGCGGCAGACTGCAGAGGTCTCTCATGTCAATGAAGCTTTCTTCCACAGCTTTTGCAAACTTGCTAGAAGATGTCTCTTTGCAGCTGTGAAAGCTGGAGATGCAGAAAAGGATGGCCTCTGGCTGGGGGTTGTAGCAGGCACCGTACCCATTTGGGACCACAGGACCATAGCAGCAGAACATCTCCATGGTGGTGGGCACCTAGAGGAGAGGACAGGTCAGGAGCTGCTTGTTCTGGAATGCAGCCTGCCAGCCTTGACTGGGCTTGGCTTCCCTGACTGTTTTTCACCTGGGGGTTTGACTGAATTAACCAAATCAAGTGATTGCTTCAGCATGGATGGACACAGCCAGAGTCATAAAAACAGACTCATTTAAGTGCATGGTATCAGAGGATGAGGGGCTCCAGGCCCACTCCCTGGTGTGCAATCTGCTCTATGTGTGGAGTTGGAAGCTCCCAAAGTAACCTTGTGCTGCATCTTGGGTTGAGTCTCCCCCTCACCTGGGGGCCATTTGAGGCACAGAGGCAATCAGGTAATTTACTAAACAGTCCCCCGGTGGCACCCGACAGTTAGATGCTTCTTGGAGGGAGGAATTTATGAACTGGAGGAAATCTGGCCCATCCTCTCTGTCAATTTTCCCCAGATCCTTAATTACTGTCAGTATTGCCTGGCTGCTCTGACTTCCCCCCGCAGCCTGGTCATGCACAATTACCCAGCATTGGGTGTTTCAAAGATTGCCATCAACTGGAGTTTTACTTATGCACCTAGTATGTTTTGAATTCAGAGGGCCGAGATTTTGTAATCCGGATCACAAACCAAGAAAGTATGTTTCTGAAGGTATTCAAGCAACAAATGTGACTTTCCAGTTGGAAAACAACAACACAACCCCCACACCCCAGATTATTTTTATTAGCTGGTCCTGGGGAGGAAAAAATACAAAAGATTCTTGGGCAGGTACAGGGCCTGGTTTGTTTTAAACCTACAGGTTTCTGGTGCTGTGTGCTCAGGCCTTTGGCACTGGTCGTTTTAATGGGGCAGAACAAACCATTAGTCTTGCTAATAGAGTCACCGCATTGTCAGATAAATTTGCCGTGCAATAGCCGAAGGCCATAAAGCCATTTCAACGCACTTTTTGCCCATGGATGGTTTCCTGAGGAATTTATGGTGCTGTGTTCCAACCTCGTTTATTCACATCTGCATGCTCACTGCCATAATGACAACAACCAATTACCTAATGGGCTTCTATCCTCAGACACAGCTTATCAACCCCTGTACACGTCCAGCTTTCACAGATGAGATGGCATTTTAGTAAATTGATGGCTGTGGGGCATTTCCCCTCCTGAACCACAACCTCTCTCTAATGGATTGCATTCTGTCTTTGTGGCAGTGGCCCTCACACAGCATGTGCTGCTGCGGTGGTTAGATGTTGGGCTGGCCATGAATGTTCTGCTGTTGGTTGTGTGGGCCTTTATAATAGTATCTGTGACCTATTTAGAGGGCCCTGTCCTTGCCAGGCCCTGGGTTGGGCTTTCTCTCTACATCATTGCATCTGGCTGAGCCAAGACTTCACTCCAGACCTGCTGGGTGTCAGAGCTTGTGGAAACCGCGGTAATCAATTGAAAGGTGGTAAGGCATAATGGTTAGGGCACCAGAATGGGTGTGTTCCTGTACTGTCTCCACCATGGCTGAGTTGGGTCTGTTGATTACTCCCATTTAGGAGATGGGAAACCTTCTTCTTTTTTGCTGAGACAGACTCTCACTGTGTCACCCGGGCTGGAGTGCAGTGATACAATCAGGGCTCACTGCAACTTCTACCTCTCCAGCTCAAGCATTCCTTTTATCTCAGCCTCCTCAGAAGCTGGGACTTCAGGCACACACCACCATGCCCAGCTAATTTTTAAAAATAGGGAGATGAGGTCTCCCCATGTTGCCTAGGCTGGTCTCAAACTCCTGAGCTCCAGTAATCCTCCTGCCTCAGCCTCCCAAGGTGTTGCGATTACAGTTATAAGCCACCAAGCCTGGCCAGTAAACCATCTTCTAGTGAACATTCAGATCATTTTGCTGAAGGCCACATAGCTCAGAAAACGCAGAGGGGGGACTTGCCTGACTCCAGCCAGTGGGCTTGTTGTCACCGCTCTTTAGAAAGCTTGCTGGCCGGGTGTGGTGGCTCATGCCTGTAATCCCAGCACTTTGGGAGGCTGAGGCGGGTGGATCACTTGAGGTGAGGAATTCAAAACCAGCCTGTCCAACATGGCGAAACCCTGTCTCTACTAAAAATACAAAATTAGCTGGGCATGGTGGTGCATGCCTATAATCCCAGCTACTTGGGAGGCTGGGGCAGGAGAGTCGCTTGAACCTGGAAGGCAGAGGTTGTAGTGAGCCGAGATCATGCCACAGCCTGGGCAACAAGAGCAAAACTCCATCTCAAAAAAAAAGAAAGCTTGCTGACTACACTACTTTTGGGGGATGGCTGCACGGGGGCTGTACCTGGCTGGTGGAGAGGACAAACCGGTTGCTCATCAGGTAGGTTTCATCCGTGAACATCTCAGGCAGCTCCTTGCATGTGTCCCGGGCCAGCTCCCGCAGTGCCAGCAGGTGGTTGTCAATGGCCATGCCTGTTATAGCCTAAGTAGTTGGGGATAAAGAAGAGGAGATGAGAAGTGGGCCCCCTACACCTCCTTGTTTCCTCCTCTCTAGTCTACAGAACTACTGGTGACTTCAGCAGCCACACTCCTGCTTATGCAGTGCCTGCTACTGCTCAGACTGACCGCCGTACCACGTGGCCTCTGCTCCTGGGCCCTTGTGCATTTCTATGTGCACTGAATGAATCCAGAACAGGTTGGGTTCTAGCTTGAGATGTCTGAGCTAAAGGTCAGTGAGTCTGAGCATCCTCTACACACCTACACCTGCCTGGCTCTCTGAAAGAATGGGGCTGGCCTGGCCATCCCAACTACCAACTTCTTGGGCAGGGAGAGAGTTTGGGAAGAAGGCTGTGTGCAGGGCTTGGGGACTGCTGGATCCTGTGCAAGCATTGTAAAGGGCGTCCGAGGCTGTCCCGAACAGACTCTCACCACAACCAATGCTCTGTCCTCCAATAGGAGCCCAGGGAACAACGGATGGAGAGTAGAGGTTATGAGATCTGTTCCTGAATCTTGGCTGCCATTTCCTGGTCTCAGGATCAATTCATTTAAACTGGATCCATAATCTAAGAACTTGTTTTAGGACTGGAACTAGACATCTTAGCAGAGGCTCAGCTGACATTTTCAAGGGGAAAGAGCCAGTTGAATGATAAAAGGTCTTTTTCTTTTTATCAGAAGATATTTAAACTTCTATCAAAGGATAGAAAAATAGAGAAAGGTCCAGAATATCGATGTAGGAGGGTAAGGTGGCTGGAAGTGGGCTGGGTACTCATTCTACAACTCTCCCACTTGAGTCTGGGTATGCAGTATGCACACTGGTGTTTTGGACTACGTGTTTATTTGGAGCAATTCTAAGGACTGAAGGAGACTCGGGGTCACCCTGACCCATAGCAATCACCTTGGGTCAACATCAGGGTAACTGTGATTAACTCTTGGGGTTTCACAGTTCCGTAGGATGGCCACTTAGCTGTCAAAGCCTTGCACAGTAGGAAACCCCCCATCAGAGTGAACTTGGTTTAGGTTTACAAGGCACGTTTTGGGATTTGACAGCTGTTCTCTTTCAGTTGCGAATGAATGCATAAAGATGACTCAGGCTTTGCTGTCTCTGAACGTACCTAATTAGAGGCTGAAAAGACAAACATTACACAATCACAGCTCACTTTATATGTGCCCTGTCAGGACAGAAGGAAAGAATGGCAGGCCCATCTATGAAGGAGACCACTCTTTTAATTTCTCTGGTTTCCTCTATTTAATTTCTGATTTGTGTTGGTCCATAGAAGCAGCTGCCCTATGAAGGGTCAACTCACCCCTGTTTTTGCCACCTCGGAATAACTGTAGCAAGAGAGATTGAGTTAACAGGTTGTTTGGCTCAGAGCCATGAGTAGTAATGAGTAAAATGACTTATCATTCAGTCTTTCATTCATTCATTTAGGGAATATTAATTGAATGCATACTATATGCCTAGGGCTTCAGGTCCTGGAGCCGCAACAGAGAACAAGACAGTTGTAGACTAAGTCTTTGTGGAGCTTATGGTGTAGTAGGGGGCCGATTTCATCAACCATGCAAAAAAACATGATCATAACTCAAATGTGAGGAAGGAAAAACATAGAGCGCTGGGAGAGTAAGTGATGGGGGCTCTGAACCACCTTGCCTGCCTCTCCATTGGAAATTCCTTTCTCCACGACCACTGGCAAATATGCTTACTAGTTATTAGGAGGTTTCCTTGCTTCTTTCCCACTTTCCTTACCCTCCATGGCCAACCATACACCAGATTCACCTCCTTTGTACCTGTCCTTCCCCCAAACCCATTTCTCTGATTTGGTCATTCTCATCAACTTAAAATTGTTAACACAACCCTATGGCAGTGCTTTGGAGGGTATTTTCCTGGATATTTTCGTAAATTTAAAGTTGTTATTGTCATATATTTGTATGGTTTAGAAATCCAAATCAAAATCCCAGGTCATTTTGCCAGCATGGATTCCCACCCCATAGAGGCAGTTCCTTATAGTCTTTTAGTCATTTCTTTTGGGTATTTACTTTGTTTCCTCCAAATACATGCTTAGGTTACCATTACTGAATTTCTCAGTTTTACCTATATTCTTGTTATAGACAGTGAAATGTCAGCTCTTTTATGACTCTGCCCCCCAACACACTTCTACTCTCCCATCTTCCCAATAAAATTATGTTTTAACTCTTTGTTGTTTGATCAAGATACAGTATAATCATGTATACGGAACAATATACATAAGTATAATTAAGCAAGTTTTCACAGCTGGGTCATGTAGTATACTATGATTAGATTTCCTTTCTTATTGAATTTTTTGTTTTTCCTAGAACTGAAAATATATAATTTTTTTCTACTTCCTTAGCTTTCCATGTACGTATTTCTTTTATTTACTTATTTTTTGAGACAGAGTTTTGCTCTTTCACCCAGGATGGAGTGAAGTGGTGTGATCTTGGCTCACTGCAACCTCTGTTGAAGTGATTCTCCTGCCTCAGCCTCCTGAGTAGCTAGGATTACATGCATGCACCACCATGCCTGGCTATTTTTTGTACTTTTAGTAGAGATCAGGTTTTGCCATGTTGGCCAGGTTGGTCTTGAACTCCTAATCTCAGGTGATCCACCTGCCTTGGCCCCCCAAAGTGCTAGGATTACAGTCATGAGCTACCGCACCTGGCCCCATATATCTATTTCAAATTGATTCCTAGAGACGCAGTGAGAATTTCACTCATCCTCTCACTTCTTGCTCCTTTATGGACCGATGGCTCTCTAGGTCTGCTCAACAACTGTTGATTTGTGATCTCATTTTACTATCATCCTGGGGGATTCCTCTATCTTTTTCTTGTGTTAAATCTTCTGATTTTTAGGAGCATATGATTTCCTCTTTATGTTTTATTTTCTCTTTAGAAGTCTACATTCTCTAGTAGCTTTATGAGAAATGGTGCCTAATAAGTAAAATGTTTGAGACTATCTCTGTCTAAAAATGTCTTTCATCTATCTTCAAACTTGATGATAGTTTAGCTCAGTATGAAATGTGTGTTGAAGGTCACTTTCTCTCACAATTTAAAGGCATTGCTCTATTATATTCCACCTTTCAATGATGCTGTTCAGAAATTAATTACATCTTTATTATGGATCTTTGTATTTGATTTTTTTTAATCCTCTCATAGATTTTAGAATCTTCTCTTCCTCTTTAGTGAAGTAACATATCCTTTGCTATGAGTATTTTCCATCTATTAAGCAACATACTTAATGAACTCTCTCAATATGGACACTCATGTGCTTTAGTTCTGGATAAATTTCTTGAATTATTTTGTTGAGGACCCCCCTCCACCATTTTCTCTTTCTAAACAACTGTTATTTGGAATATTGTTCTCTTGGGCGAAGTCTCTTTTCTCTCTTATATTTCATCTCTTTGTTGTGTTGGTATTTTGGGGATATTGTCTCAGATTTTCTTCTAATTCTTCCACTGAATTTTTTTCTACCATATTTTCCTCCAGAGTTATTTTTATTTCTTGAAAAATGTTTTTTGTTTCCCATCATATATAGATGTAATAACTCTTTTTATTTTTCAAAAAATCTCAGTGGTCACTTTAAAAATGTTCAGTTGTTTCCTGTAGTTTTTCCATTTCAAGTTTTGTTTGTCTGTTTTCTGAGACAGAGTCTTGCTCTGTTGCTCAGTATGTAGTGCAGTGGTGTGATCTCAGCTCACTGCAAACTCCAACTCCCGGGTTCAAGTGATTCTCTTGCCTTAGCCCATTTCAAGTTTTTAAAACATATATTTTTTTAATTAGCAAAAAATGTTTGTTTGTGTTGGTTTTACTCTTTTATGTCTCCTCAATGTCTGGGGATCTATTTGTATTTAAGAATAAAGCACTGAAAATATGACTAGAAGATCTATGTGCGAGAAAGTATTTGTTAACCTGTGGGTTTCACTGTCCTTACAGTAGCTCTCCTTCAGTATAGGAATGGTTCTTAACTAGCATCTCTGCCTCTTGGCAAACCAGCAGGTTTACCCCATCTGCTGACGAGGTTCTTTCACTGTGGGCCCCAACCATCAGTTTCTGTGAGTATTCTCTCTTGGCCTAGTCAATTTTACCACAGATGCAGCTGAGTGGCTGGAGGGCTTAGTAGTAAGTAAGGAGACTTTAATTAACCATTTAATTTCAGTACAGTATCCCCTCCCTTACCTGCACTTAGTGTCCTCAAGTCTAGAATTCTTCTGCTTCTCCAGATAATGAACTTCTAGTCCACCTCTGGGGAGGGGCCTAGTAACCTGGCTGCCTGAGGTGGTAGAGAGGAACCGAGATCTAATTGCTTTTTATATAGATCATCAATTGCTATGGTTTGAATGTTTGGGTCCTGGTCAGACTTCATGTGTTGAAACTTCATGGTGTGATAGTATTAGGAGGTGGGACCTTCAGGAGGTGATTAGGTCATGAATGGGGTTTAAGGCCCTTATACAAGAGGCTGCACACAGTGTTCAGCCCTCAGCCTTTCTATCTTCCACTATGTGAGGACACCGCACTTGTCCCCTCAGGAGGATGCAGCAATGTGGCACCATCTTGGAAGCACAAGGTAGGCTTCGCCAGACACTGAACCTGCTGGTACCTTGATCTTGGATGTCCAACCTCCACAACTGTAAGAAATAAGTTTCTGTTGTTCATCAATTACCCAGTCTCCCAAGCTTCTCTCACTACTTGCTGAGTCAGTTGCCACGTGTTCTACCTTCCGGCTCTAAAACGTTGCTGCCACTCCTTTCCTGTTCTCTTGCTCTAGTGTATTTATGGCTTTCAAAAATCTCTTGCTGTTGTTTCTGGAGAGTTTCAGAGAGAATGACAGCAACTCTGTGTGCAGTCCACCATGCAGGAAGAGTTTTTCCACCAAGAGGAGGCGTTTACATCTTCCCCTTCATCTGCCCCTGTCCTACTCCAATCCAAACACCCGCTCTCCCTCAGTATTAGAAACGTTGTCAACCAGCAACTCTGCCCCGTGGCAAACATTCCTAACCCCAATTCCAATCAGTCCTTCTTTTTCCCAGTCACTGTAACACACTTGGTAACAGGGAAATCCAACATCTCCCCTCCTCCACTGTCCTTTGCAAGCTATGCACTACTTTTCCTCGAATGGGTCTTATTCTCTTAAGGCTCTCTGCCTTTGCACCTGGTGCCCTTCTTGAGCCAACTCTCCCTTCTGTGTCTGCCTGACAAGCCTCTCTTCATCCTTTGTGTCTCACATGAAGCACCACTTCCCCTGGGAATTCTTCCTGGCTTTCCCAAGCAGAGGAAACAGCTGGTTCCTCTATGTCCCCTGCTACTTTCTGAAGGCTCTTTCCACATGGGATTGGTATTCAAGTTGAAGGGCCTCTTCTCTCAACTACATGACAACTTCCCTAAGGACAGGGCTATGGACTTCATGTTTTGTTTCCAAGCACCCAGCACCTTGTCTGGCATAAAGCGTGAAGGTCAAAACAGCAACAATAAACAAAACAAAAACACCCACTGAATACATGAGTGGCCGAGGTGCTACATTTTCCCCAAATAGAACAAACGCTTAAGTATTTAGATGAATTTGGGACCTAGCAACTAAATTAGAGGAAAGTCTACGTTGGCTAGTTCTAAAATCCAGAAATGCATTGTTTTTGTTTTCAGGTATCTAGAGTGAAATTTGCTCGCTCCTTTTCATAGAGTACATGATCCTTCAAAGACTGTGTTAGAATGACTTGCAACGAAGGTATTGATAACAGCCCAAGTCGTTGCTTCTTCTCTACTGTTTTGCTACTGCAAGCAATAGCTTTGCAGTGCCAGAAAAGAAATTATTTCTCTAAACTAGGGACGCATTTTCCTTGCAATTTTGATTTCCCCATTAATTTTCAGGAAAGACTTTTTATTCACAGGTAGTATGAATAAATATACAGAAAATAAGAGGCAAAAGCAGCCCTCACTGGGAACAGACACTCGCTTGCCTGCAACTGAGCAAGGCGTGTGAGCCTCCACTGCTTGCTAGGCTTGAGCCTCTTCCTCTCACAGTTGATTCCTCTTGTATGAACTGCAAGATGCTATACATGTAAGGTGCTATTATTATCAATATAGTTGTTTCAAAGGGTTTGAAAAGTGGTAACTCATTGTGTTCTTATAAAATCCATGTCAAAAGCAGGAATGCTGTGTTACTTAGGTTCTAAAACTAAGAAACAAGAGGCTGGGGGTTGAAGCAGCCTTGCCAAGTCCCTGGGTCATAGGTGGCTGGGTCCTCACATGTGGTCTCATGCCATGGCATCCATTCTGCCAGGTCCCAGGCACAGCTCTAGTGTGGGGTTGTGAGGTGGTGTGACGTCACTCACCATGACTGTGTACGCAGTCTGGGCACGGATGGCATCCTTCAGGAGCAGAAGCTTCTCAGAAGCCTGTCAACAGAGCACAGGCAGCACGGGGTTCAAAAGGCTGCTTGGAGCCAAAGCGTCTGGTGCTCAGAGGGCCGAGGTGAGGGCAGCTCACAGCGGCCTCACTGGTCTCCGGTGGCCATGGGGTGGGGCGAGACTTACCAGCACAGCAGCCTTGTGGTCAGTCATGGCTCTCACAAAAGCCAGTGCCTCCGGAGTGGCTGATCTGATGTTGTCCACCCGTCCCTCCTGGAATCGCCGGATGGATGCGCTCTCGTAGGTGGGCACCAGTCTTCGGTGGAGCCTGCGTGGGATGAAGGATGAATGGCACGTGGTAATTTATTCTTGGGGAATCATAAACTCGGAAAGAAAAATTGCCTCAGCAGGCTTTATTTTCACAGCTCTGACTTGACTCGGCAGAATATTTCATTTTAATGTAAATAGAATTCTAGAAGGAATTCCCAGAGACGACGCTGGGGAGCCTCCCACGTGGAGAGCCACGTTTGCTTGATTACACAGGGGATGCGCACTGACATAAAATAAGGAAGTTATGGGCAGCGCTTCAAAAAAAATTTCAACCTGGTGGGAAACCTACAGTTTTCTGTGAGACCTGATGAGTGTTTGATGAATAACACAGAATGGAATAATTGTGTAATTAATCATTCCCACCCATGAGGGAATCCTGTTTTATTTAAACTGATTCAAGCATGACCTCCAGAGGGAAGCAGGGAGGGGCCTTAGTGGTGGTGAGCGTAAATTGCTGCCCAGGCCCTCCCTTCAAGGGACGGCCAAGCTTCTGACAGACCCATGGACACCATGGCTGTGCCTCTCCTCCCTGATGTCCATGACCCAAGCAGCAGTGGCCGCTTCCCCACCAACAGGATGCCTCTTTCTTTATGCATGGGAACTGGGCCAGCGTCCCTGGGCTTGCAGCCCTGGAGGGCACGCCCCCTTTCTCACCAGTCAGTAAGTGTTGGGAGTGGGGGAGGGAAAAAGACACAGAGCTCTGAGAGAAGTAGTGACAGCCCAGTGTCACCCCGCAAGTCATGGCTCCACATCTCAGCCCTTCAGGGCATGTCTCTCCCTCACTGGCTGCGCTCCTGGAGGTTTGGGAAGGCTGTGTCCAATTCTGCAGGGTGTGTGACACTGTCTTGCTTGGTGAGCACAGGAATGACCTCCTGTACACTCTGACAAATTTCCCCAAGACTCCAGCAAGGAGCTCCTGTCCCGTTTCTATGGTCCCTGGAGGCAAACGCCATCACTGGCCAGTCACTGACCAAGCCCAATTCAGGCAGCCTCTAGGTTTCTGCTGAATCTAGGGGCAGATAAAAACAACTGTGATTATTGCAGCTTAGAGCCTGAGGAATGCTGCTCATGGGAAGCAGATCCTCTTTGGCTATTTGATGAATCCAGGAGCCTCTGGCTGTGTCCATTCCTGGCCTTGTCCAGTGACAGCACAGCCCACAGGAAGGTGGAGGAGGGGTGCTGTGCAGGCTGCACTGGCCCCTCAGCTCTGGATCTGAAACCTGGAAGCGACAGGTCCTGAGCAGCTGGTCTCAGTGAGGTCCCTAGTCGAGGCTCCAGCAGGATGCTGACCTCATAGCCTATCTTGGTCCCATGCCCTCTGAGTATCAGAAGACACTGACCACTGTTCCAAATGCCAGATAAGTCCTGCAGCATCTCAGTGCTGGTGAGGTTTCTGCCTTTTGACGGCTCAGTGGCAAGCCCAGTCCTCGTGTGGAATGATATCAGCCTTCCCCAAGGTGTCCGGACAGGACAGACAAAGCAGCTGCATTCACTTCCTTGAGAATTACAGGGGACACTGGACTGCTGCGTCCACACCGGCGCTGCCTGCTTATCAGTGAAAATGCCTTGCCCTGGCTTTACTGCAGGGTCACGTTATGCCCTTCATGGAAGGTGCAAACTGAAAGCAGGTCTGAGGGCAGAGCTTTACCATTTATTGCCAAAAGCTTTTGAGCTGCTGCTTCTGGAGCCCTGGAACTGTCAGGACCTGGCCACATCTCCAGGAAGATTGATTTCCCATTTTGGTTTCTTCACCTCCTATAAAGGCTAATTGACCTCTCCCTCTGCCTTCATTCCTGATTTCCCTCCTTTTTACTTTTTCCCTGACACACAGTGACCTGGGCCACCACTAGAGAGCTTTTTGTAAATCCCAGGCCTGGCCAGACCACTTCTGGCTAAGCCTCCCATCTGTGATTCAGTCTCTGGCACCTACTCTGTGCCAGGTTTGGTGTGGGTGCTAGGGACTCAGAGAGTGTCAGGATTGCGGAGACAGGCTAAAAAACAAAGCCAGTAAACCTACCAATAATGCAATTCACATGAGTAACAATTACCTTGAAAGAAAAAGAAAACGCAATGTGGTATGATAGAAAACAGGTGGCAAGGAGGCCAGAGGTGGCTGCGTCAGATAAGGGGATAGGGAAAGGCTCTGAGGGATGGAACCTGGGCTGGAAAGGGCTGGTGTGTGTGGAGGATGGTGAGAGATGGGTGACAGAGGCACAGCCAGGGCAAAGGTCAGGAGGCAGGAGAGAGCTGGTGTGAAGGCACTGGGAAGTTTCATGTGGAAAGTGATCTAGTCTGATTTGCATATTTCAAAGTTCACTCTTCATGAAGACAGGATTATTAGAGATAATACTGGAAGCAGTGACCTTAGGATGTGCTGCGGTTGGCCAAGCATGAGCTGATGGCAGCCTGGGAGGGGCCGATGGCAGTGGGGGTGCAGGGCAGGTGAGAGACATTTGGAGGAGAACTGACATGGCAGTGTGCGGGGATACGGGAAAGGGTTGAATCAACGATGAGTCCACAGTCTTTGTCTTGATCAGCTAGGGGGCTGCTGGTTCTACTTCCTTAGCAAGATTGGGAAGACTGGGGAGGAACAGGTTGCAGCAACAGGGTTCGGGTGAGGTGGGGAAAGTTGGGATGGAGAGCAGCCCCTCCGCCCGCCTCCATGATCCTCATCCCTACCTGGCTCTTCTCAGCTCTACACTCCAGCCCTCTGGAGCTCCATGCCCCAGTGCCATCACCCAGGCAGTTCCCTGATGGCACTTCCTTCTCATTCTGAGGTTGGATTTAACCCACCTCGGTCTGCACCTCCTTCATGCAGCCTCGGTCACTGTCCAGTCCTCCACGCCCCAGTGGGCTGTCCCTCCCCCAGGATGCTTCTAGACCCTAAATCCTACAGCATCGTGTCTATCAGCCCTCCCAGGTACAGACTCATTCCACCTCCACTCACCTGTAGAAGGCCAGCTGGAGGGCCACCTGGATGAAGGCATCAGGACTGCATTTCTGCTTCTTAATGAATGTTTTCCCATAGTTGTCAAACTTATAGACAATGAAGTCAAGGTTCTTTACTATTCTGAGGAATAAAAAGAAAAGATGCTTGTATTGCATACACCATAGGGTTTCCCCGGGCTTCTTGAGGCGGCTCTGTGTCCTAGTGCTCTGGAAGGTGAGGACTCAGTCCCTGCCCTCCAGGAGTGCACTGAGGTGTCAGAGACACGCCTTGACCTATGAAAATGTCAGAAGGCATGCTGGGCCAGGACTACTATGACCAAAGGTGAGCTCAGCTGGGCGAGGTGGTGGCCCTGCTCTGGAGAGTGGGTGGAGAGATGGTCCTGGCTGTGGCAGTGAGACAGGACCTCCCAGGGTGATATGCCTGGGACTTTGTCATTCACTGTCAGAGCAACAGGAGTCTGCACTGAGACTCTTGAGCACTTGTTGGCCCCCATATTGACCAATCTCCTCCTCCATCAGGAGTCTGGGGTTCTGGCTGACTGCCCACTGGAGCAGTGTCTGGAAGGTTCATGCATCTGCCCACCAGCCGTGTGTGGGTACAGAGAATGAGTGGGCACCCTGAGCGCGCACCCACTCCTTCCCTCTAGACATCATGCTTCCTGCCTGCCTCTTCTTGAAGTATTTCTCCTGCTCACAGCAGCTCAGCTCTTGGTGGGGTCAGGTGCTGAGGACACTGGGGGACTCAGAGGTGACCCAGTTCCCACAAGTAGTCGCCCCTTAGATCCACCTGTTAACAGACTCCTGGGACAGACTGAGCTCACTGTCACCACGGCCACCTGGAAACCTCTTCCCCAAGCTGTGCCCACTTGGGCCCCTATCCCCTTGTATGGGCCCCTCAGGCCCCTCATGGAGGAGCCTCCTGCTTCCCTATCCATGGGCCTCTCCTGGCTCTCTCAGCCTCAGGAGGGAGGAGCTGGGAACCTGGAGAAGCCTCTGGGAACATGGAGTCTGCTCAGGTTTCTGAAAGGGAGTGGACTTCTTCGGTCCCCAAGGACTCACCAGCCCACCAGCTCACTGCCCTGGCCCCTGGCTTACCTCCTGAACAACCCTGCAAAGCTGAGATGTGGACACTGCTTTATAGCACACCTGAACTGTGCCGTGCCCACCAAAGACAGGCGCTCTCCACGGCAGCTCCCAGCAGAAGAGTCCTTCCCACCCTTCAGCTGCCCAGCCTGGCTACACTCTGTCCTGTTCACATGAGCTCTTTCCACAGCCTCCTAGAGGGCATCCCTATATCCCCTGCACAGAACCCTCCAGAGGCTCCTTACCATTGGCAGGGCAGGCTCTAGGCCCTTAACGGAAGACAGTGACATTCGTCACAGTGCAGCCCAACTTCCTTTTTGTGCCCCAGCTCTGGCCATTCTCACTTGCTGGTCTCCAAACCAGCCTGCATCATTATGACTTGTACAGGCTTGAAGAAGCTACCTTTCTGCCTCTTCCCCATCTGCTTGCGCCATGAATGCCTATCCATCCTTCAAGCCCATCTCTGCAAGGCCCTCCCTCACAGTCCCGGCAGAGTTCAGCATCTGTTTCTTTGTGGGTTCAGGTCAGCATGGTTGTTTTTACCTTTGGCACTAATCTTACTGTATCACACATGTTGGCCTGGGAATTTGCTTATTCCACTGAAGTATGGAGTGTGGCTCCCATGGCAGCTAATTGTGTTCTCAGAGTCTTACCACAGGGCTGGCACACATGAGAGTTCTGCACATGTTTGATGAATGAATGAGCAAACCAGTGAATGCATGCATTCGTGCTTGCTCGCTTACTGAATGAAGGAATCAACAGCTACCATGTGGACATGGCTGCCAGGCTGCGGCTCCCACCACCAGCACCAGGCCCTCCTTCGAGGGTCCCGTTAGGGTTAGGACCTGAACCACCCCCGCCGTGGGGAAAAAGGCCCCCTTGTGAAGTTGCTATGTAAATTCAAGCAAATTGAAATAGCTTGAATTCAAATGACCTATTCAAACCAGTTGTTTATTACTCCCCTGAAAGCAGGGGATGATTTCCCAGCCGTGACTCTGCTCAGTCAGGTGAAACTGTGAAAAAATAAATAAATAAATCATAAAAAATAGCTCTGTGTTTGCATTTTATGGAAATGATGGATACTTCAGCAAGGTTATTTCCCCAGAGTTATAACTCTCCTTTAGTTTGACTACATTTCCATGAGGGATAGGGACGAGGTGGAGCCCAAGGGGAGGCAGGGGAGCCAAGGGTCTTTGGAAACTTCCAGGATCCTTGGGAGCTAGTGGACAGGGGCAGAGTGGTCCCTAGGGACACCCCTTGAAGGACACTTTGGTTTGTCCTTACCGTTGAAGTTTTTCCGCAGAGGAGGCTAAGTGGCCTTGAATTTCCGGGGAGCATTTCCACCGCAGCCTCCGGGGGGCAGGGAGCTCGCTGACTGAGTCTGCACGAACCAGCTTCCTGCTGCTCTGTGTCCTGCTGGGCACAGAGGCGACCTCCTGAGGCCCTGTGGCCAGAGAGCTGAGGGAGACATTGCTTCTTTGCCCTCTTCAATCATCTTAGCTGTCAGTGTTTGCAGCCACGGAGTTTCAGGGGGTATGAGCTGTCCCTGAACCACTGTGCAGATAAATAAACTGAGGCTCAGAGAGGCCACCAAAATTATTAAGTGGCAGGGCCGGGGTGCCATCCAGTTCCACCTGACTCCAAAACCCATTATTTCTTTTCATTGTTTTCCTATTAGACTATGTGACACCCTAACACTTACAGAACACTTGGAGAGAAATTTAAGAGAGAAACAAGTTGTGTTGTTTTGTTCTACAAGGGTTGTGACTACTAGGCCTGGTTTGGGTTTCAGTGACCCTAGAGTTTCGTGGAAGAGATTAAAGACTTAGATGCAAGGAGAAGATCCTAGGAGAGAATGGGTAAAATTGGGAATGGAGGAAGGAACGCCGTTTGTTTAAGGCACAGAGGACCCTTGCTCAGAAGCGAAGGAGGGACCCAGACTGGGGATTTGGAAGCAGTGAGGCTCAGAGAACTCCCCCTGTGTTGGGGCAGCTGTGGGCCTGGCCCTGACTCAGGACAAGAAGTAGGTGTTGATGTAGGCTTCCCCTCTCTCACGGCAGACGTTCCTGAGAATTCCTTGCCACGCTTCTCCCTGACTGCCCTAAATCTGCTACCTCCTCTCCATGGCCTGTGAAGCACATGATATCTTATTCAAAGCTGCTTTCAAATTCATCTCTTTTTTTGGCCTAGCATGGCAGCCCAGGACTCCAGACTCACATGTGCTTGAGCAGATGCTCAGTGCACTGCACCAGGACGATGCCGTCGAATGGGGAGTGTTCGCACACCACACCGCAGGTGCCGTCTCGGCCCACCACGAACTGCAAGAGAAAAGAGGGAGTGGCGACCACGGGACAGTCAGCAGTGCGAGGCAGCCCCTTGTCCCCAGGTCAGGCCCCTGGCTTCTCAGGAGCACCTCTCCTCCAAGGACACCAGAGCACATTACTTCCTGAGAACTCTGCACGTGATTTGCAGTGGCCTGAGAATATGAGAATCCATGACAGCTCTGCACTTGCTACCTCTTTCCCATGAAGGCTCTGGGCACTGAAGGTAGAGCCCCAAGTTCCCTGACTGAGCAGTCCAGGGATTTCTGAGGAGCTCATCCCAAGTCTGCATAGCTGCTCTGGGGCATGGACGAGGCCCATCAGCCTTGTTTCCCCTCATAGCATGCATCACAGGCACCATCCCGCAGTGCTTTATGTAACTATTTGTCTGAAGGGCCCTGTTTGTTTTGGCCACCAATGATTTTATTCCCAGGATCTATACCAGTGTGCCCCCCATTGTATGTGCTCAATAAATGTGTGGAATGAGTGGCAATGAAAGGTAACAGTCTGTTTTGGATGGTAAGCAGATTCCTAGGGAGAAATAAAATATCCCTTGATAGGTGTGAAGGAAGGATGAATCAGTAAAGAAGGAATGAAGGAAGGATGAAGAAGTGAAGGAAGGAGATACAGGAGATGCTCCACTGGTTGCCGCTTGGGCTTCTAGTCGGGGACCCACATGTGGCTAGCTCTGCAGCTATGAGAGCTTAAATGAGATGCGTCAACTCTCCGGACTTCAGTTTGCTGTCACTGAAAACAGACCCATCTTGGCTCATGGATTGAGAAGCAGAATGGAGAGGAGGTATATGAAGGATCCATAGGAGCTGTTGAGTTTACTTATGACTTTTTTGGTGACTTTACAAAGACTCTAGCTGACGTGGGAAAGGGATCACACCTAGTGCACAAAAATACTGGGAGAAAATAATAAGGACAAAATTTGGTTCTTTTTTGTTTTTTAAGCATCCTTATTTGTGAGAGCTTTATTTTTAAGTATTGTTAGCTGAAATTATTTGCTTTAAAGTGATTCAGCAGTAAATAAATAATAAGTAATCTGGAGGGACTAAATGAATCAAGACTGACAATGTGTACATGCTATTTTTGAATATGCTTGATAAAAGTCAAAATATCCAGAGCTTTTGCTGCTTTATCAAAGTACTCTTTCCTCTAGGAGTCCTGTGGCTTTTTTTCCATTGGGGAAAGTGGAAAGATGAATAATTAAATGCAGAGATTATTATTTTTTGTCATTGTTGCTACTGTTTTAAGCAGGGAGGAAGTTGATTGTCTCTATTCCAACAGCACACACTCGTTATGACTTGTTTACCTATGGAATAAGTTTATTTTCATAATTTTATACTTAAATGTTACAACAAACTTGTTCAGGAAATATTTTAAACATATAACAAAATTTAGGATTTTTAAATTTAGAAATTTTTAAGTTTTAGATTCATCATGTTTCTTTTTTTTGTTTGTTTTTTCCATTTTTTTAAAACTGTAATTCAAATGAAGCAGGTTGCCTGGTAGCCCGTCACACCCAGGAGATACTCATTCTTCAGCCCTAAGCAAACAAGGCAAGCAAACTCCAGGAGTTTTACTGAAGTTCTTCCAGGGCACCATACCACTCCACATGTCCCAAGCTGCCTCTCCCCTGGTCTCCTCCCAGTCGCTCCCCTGGTATGCCAGAGGCCTGGATCTTTGCTCGAATTCTGCAAAGAAACTCACTTCCCACAGAGCTTCTCCCCAAACTCACCCCTTGCAGACCCTCCCCTTCTGCCCCCAGCATTCCTTGCTTTGCTGTCCTGAGACCAGCTTTCCATCCTTTTGTATTCAGGTCCATGGAGCCCTGCTGGCTTCTCTGGCTCACCTGATAATCTGTCCTGATGATGAAAAGAGCCTGGAGATCAGCATAGACTCACCCTGAGAGGCGCTGAGGGCTGTGCCAACCCTCATGTTGTTACTTATCCATCCCTGTCACTAAAGGAAGGAAGGAAGGTAGGAAGGAAGGAAGGAAGGAAGGGAGGGAGGGAGGGAGGGAGGGAGGGAGGGAGGGAGGGAAGTGGTGTCTTTTAAAAACTGCTACCAAGGCTGAGTTCCAGATTCTGTGCATGTATTACATTGGTTCACCCCCACAGCTGCTCCGTGAAAGATGATAAGCCATTAGCACAACTGTGGAGGCTAAAACGGCTGGCCCAGCAGCCAGAGAACACATCAGAAATAATGGAATCAATATGCAAACCAATAAAAAGGAAAACCTGCAGAATGTAGGGACAGAGAGAAAGGAAAACGCGGTGTTGTCTAGACATGCTTATGAATGTGAGCTTTGTTAACCGAAAGTAGAGAGATGTTTTGCCTGCTGTTTTATACCACATGGCATAAAGTATAAAAGGGTAGCCACTTTAAAATAAACAAGACTACATTCAGGATTGGCATGTTGGGGGAATAAAAGGAGGATGGCAGAACGGGAATGAATGGTTTAACCTTGACTTCATTCCCGTCTGCATGGGTATTTTTCTCTAGGCCAAAGCAAATTTCTTACTTCTAGGCTGATGTCACGCAAATGAACAAATATGAATTATTTTATCTTATGATCTTTCTTCCATGGAGGTTCTGGGCTGCTCTACTTCTCACGGCTTGAGGGAGGTATGTCGACATTGCCAGGCCACAGGGGTGGACATCCAAAAAGCTGACAGCTCTGGGCATCAGATTCTCTCAGAGTGCATTAAGGATTTGTTCAGTGGGGTCCGTTGTACCCTTTTGCTCCTGGCAAACCCCCACCTCACAGGTGTGATGGGTGATGGGAAATGAGCCCTAGGTCTGGCCCAGACCTTCCTGGCACAGGCTGCAGGAAGGTTAGGGAGTTTGAGTTTGGTTCGGCCACTGGCTCCCAAGAAGAGTTCTGGCTTGTCCAGAGATTGACATCAACAGCACATCTCAGACCCCTCCAGCTCCCCTGATCCATCAGACCCAGCCTCTTGGGCAGCAGAGGGCAGTGCGTGCTCCTGCCAGACGCAAGTACATGCGGGCTGGGTGCTGGGCTCTGCAGGCTTGCCTGCTCACTCTCTTGCTGGGGGCAAGGGTGTGCTCTTGCAGGGTCACCTGAATGACTTACCTGCAGGGACTTGTCATACCAGCGGTTGGCGCCGTTCTTGCTGCAGCCTCCGCCGTGAAGGAGCTGGAGTGCCCTGTGGGTGTCACTGAGCTCCACGCCTCCTGGTGCATCCAGGCACACAAGGCAGATGCAGCGTTCGATCATGTCCAGCGAGTCCCGATTGGTGGAGTCTGCAGAGGAGGCAGGCACAGCCCTAGCACCTGTCCCTCTCCAGGCCAGGTTTCCCTCCTTGGAGCCCCGTATGGGGCAGGGCAGTCCTGTCTTGTGGGATCACACTAAGACCCACATCTTGAGCCAGCCCTGATTCCCTAATCCTGCCCCGCTATGAGTGGGCAGTGAAGTCAGCAAGAGTGTCCTGAACCTCTGTCCTACCCCAGGAGCCCAGCTCATTCTCAGGATCCCTGAAGGAGCCCTGCCCTCAGCTGCAGCCAGCTCTCCTCCAGATGTGTGGGCCACTGGTTCTGCATGCCAAGGTGAAGGGGGATGCTTAGACCCTCAGGTCTGTCCACTTCAGTGGAGGGGTCCCTAATCCCCACCCAATAGCACCCTCCACTCAAGCTGTGAGCCACATCTGTGTGTAGGCATGCTTGTTTGCCCTGAACTGTAACTTTCAGACATCTATATTAGTTTTCCAATTTTGAAATTGCCAATTCAAAATTAGGCAATTTCACAAGAAAACCGGAAGGAAGTGTGTTGCTCACCTCCCTGTCCCCAAGCTGTTGATTCAGAGGCAGAGCTGCAGGTGGAAGGGCCAGGCTTCCCTGAACCTGCATCAGGATGAGCTCATAGGAGCCGTTTTGGACTCATGGACCCAAAGGAGTGCCAAGCCTGGCCCACAGCTGGCTTTTGCGTGAGCCTCTACCAATTCCCAGGCTCCTCTGGACCTTGCAGAGGAAGTGGGTTTCAAAAGGGAATCTCCCTCCCTGGTGGCACTGGAGGAGTACAGACAAGGATGCCTTTTCAGGAGTGGGAGTCAGGCACAGAGGACATGACTTCCCCAGGGACACGTGGGTTCCTTCCAGAGAGCACTAGAAGCTGCCCTCCCCAGGAAGCTTCCTCTGCAGGGCACAGGGAGGTTCACCAAGGCCACCTGGCAGGACCTGCTGGGGGCCAGGGCTGCTCTTGCTGCGTGTTCTCATTTCTTCCAAACGGGTCTATTGTGCTGACGATGTTCTCTCCACCTCTCAGTACTGGCTGTGGGAGTGCACAGCCTGGCTCTTGGTTTAAAGTTCAGGAAAAGTTAAAAAGTCCACCCAAACCAAAGTTTAATATTTTGGTTTAAAATTCTAAGGAGTGACTTCAAGACCCAGTGGTGAGGGCTGTGTATCACCAGGAGAGCCTGACCTTGGAGCTGGATGCTGGGACAGGATGAGGCACCCAGGGCAGGGGTGAGAGTGCTCTATGTGGGTGGATGGGGGGCATGGCATTTGCAGGTAAAGGTGCATTACATGGTAGAGACTGCTAGTTGCACACTACAGTTTCTTCCCTTGCTCATAGAATCCATGGCTTTTAGCTTGGTCCATGGACAACCAACTAAAGGTGTACTTCCCAATCTCCCTTACAGTTAGGGGTAACCAGGTGTCAAAATTCTGCCAGCAAGATCTCAAAAAGCTGTATGACAGCTTCCGGGAAACCTCCTCAAAGATAACTAGCATGTGCTCTTTGGCCTGCTTCCCACCTTCCTCCATCCTGCTGCCTGGATCGTGGATATGACGGCGGGAGCTCTCCCCTGTGTTTTGCCTTCCTCGGGGAAGTGGGCAGCTCCGGTTCCCAGGGTGCAGTCAGTCTTTAAGACCATCTCCTAGGTCTTCTCAAAGCCTGCTGGGTACACAGATGCTAACTGCACTGGTCTTCGCTCTGCCCAGGTGAATTCTCCAGATTCACAAGGGGTTTCCACAGATGCCCTTGACTGAAAGGAGTCTCCAGTCTCCATGCATACCCTTTTTTGCAAATTCTCCAATCCCCGTGCATCCCTTTTCTCTCACTTTCTGCAAATTCTGGGGAAGGAGATGTCTCCCACAGCAAGCCATCCACCCTGGGAAGCCAGAGTAGCCTTGGGATGTCCTCTTTTCCCTCTTGTCGAGGATGAGGCTTTGGGACCCCGGTGCTTTCAGAAACCCTCCTGGTCCCTACAAGGCCAGGATGCCTCCTTGCTCTCTGCATGGCCTCTTGGGCTTCCCTGCCTCAGTCTGATCAGCATCAAGGATCTGGCCATGCTCTGAGAATATAAGCATAAGTGAGAGCCAGCTCAGGCTCTGGGGAAACTCCCCTTCCTGTAAGCTCCTTCAGCACGGTGCAGTCACCACATCACCCTCGCAGAACCTGAAATGGCTCCTACTGCCCACAAGGGAGAATCCCAATTTCTAAACATGGCACCGTGGGTTCCTTGGCTCACACCTCTGCTGCCCCACCTCCTTTCCTCCCCAGATCCCTGCATGGACCTCACAGACAACCTCATGTCCCTCCCTGATTCTGTGCACATCCCATCTCCTTGTAATCGTGCAGCCTGTGCCTAGGACAAGACCTTTCTCCTACTCTGCCTATAAAAGCCCTCCTTGAGCTCCCTCATCCTCTGGTGGTGCCAGCCCTGCCCTTGAGGTCACCTGACGCCCAGAGTGTGAGGCCTCCACAGTTTGCGCAGTGCAGATGTGGAACCTGCACACTGCCACGCCAGCCTCACATAGCACCTGAGCGCAGAGGTGGCCTCCCAAACCCTGCCCACCACCCCCTGCTGCACAGCACATGATCCCACTGCCATTCCCACACCACCATGCTTTGGACAGTCAGCACTTTCAGCCCCTGGACGCCTGGTCTGGTCCTCTCCCCTGTATCAGCACTCACTGAGGGTGCGGCCTGGGCCCCCTGCACAAGGCAAGCACAGTCCATGGTGGGTAATGGACTTCATTCTGCTTCCTTTGGTCTGGCCCCAGAAGGGCTGGGATCTGTGGATCCAGTTGAGAGAGGGGGCCTGGAGGTGCCCAGCTGGCTAATGGGAAAGGGAGAGGCCATGTCCTTCTGAAGGGCAAAAACCAACTACTTTCGAGGCTTTGAGCTTCATGGGTTGGTGGGGCAGTGGGGGTAGGGTGAGGCTGGGACAAGGTAGGGCTCCTTTACCTCTGCAAGGCTCCCTGCTCTGCCCTTCTCCCTCCTTAGGAAACCTGCAGATGGCCACGGTGCTCAGCCCTCTACTATGTGCTGTGCTTGGGGTCCCTTCAGGCTGTCCCACGCTAGCCAGTGCCTTCAGAGCATGGGGAGACCTTGGCCAGGTCTGGGTCAGGTTCAGATCAGCAGAGAGGAAGGGAGAGGCATGCCAGGAGGTGTATAATAGTGCAGGGTAGTGGGTGGAGGATGGGAGGGTGGCTTGGATGGTGGGGAACAGACCCCAAGCTTGTAAGCATAGCTTGTGAGTAATTGGCTTGACCTCCAGCTTACGGGTGAGGGCACAGGATTTAGGCAGGGCTGGAAGAACACAGTGATGTGACGCTATTAGCTAACAGTTGTCGGGTACCTACCATTGTGCCAGGTATCAATTTAAACATACACACTGATGCATCTGAGATAGGTATCATTGTCATGCCTCATTTACAGGTTAGGAGCAGAGAAACCAAATGTCTTGACCTTAGGCCATTTATAAGGCCCTCTTGTAAACAGGGATGATATTAATTATTCAGTAAGTAGAGGGAGCTGGGTTTGATCTCAGGCGTCCAATCCCAATGCTCAGGTTTATTAACGAGCACTGTGAATGCCCAGCTCAGTAATGTGACTTTAGCCAGCAACAACAGGGAGTCACTGAAGGATCATGGAAGAGCTCAGTGTGTTCAGAACAGAGTCTTGGATACTTGGCAACTTGGGAAGGGCATGGGCCTGGACACTAGCCATGCCCGGGCCACGAGCAGCTTGAATGCTGCCCACCTTGTCCCTGTTGGCCACACCTCAGGGTGAGCTCTGAGAGCCCTGGCTTGGTAGCTGCCCTTACCAAGTGTTCTTTAAAAATATCCCCAAAGGCAATGTGAAGTGGGCAGACTGCAGCTCCTCAGGCAGCCGCCCACAGCATGCCTGCCCAGCCAGGAGGCATCACTCCCTGGACATCACTGCCCGGGTCACCTCCAGGCAGGCAAGATGGATTGTGAGGAGGCCCCATGGCATGCCATCACGTGCATGCTGTGCAGGGCCCAGGAGCCCAGCGCCGCCGAACAGGAACCAGGTCCTGGCTCATTAGACAGGGTGAAATGGGAGCAGGACAACAGAGAGGGAAGCCAGGTGGCCTTGCAAATGAACTCCCTGCATATAAGTAGCTGATCAGTCAAATGCTGACAAGTTTATCGTGTAAGGCAGAAAATGAGCACTATGCCCAAGCTCATCCACCATGACTCTGGCCCAAATGTAATGGAAACACGGGATAGCGGGCTGGAGGCACGTGGCAGGAGCCGTTTGTCTTGTGGTATACTCATTGAGCACATCGAGGCTCCTTTAAAGTGGTGAATCAATCTTCCTCAAGAAGCCCTGCTTAATAGTGAGAGGTGGGGATTGAATAATAGGAGGAGCTTGTGCTGACACCCATGCCTGTGGAGGGAGCTAACAGCTTTGGTGGTGTGGAAATTCCAAAGGCCAGGAGGCCTTGAGGAGCCCTAAGCCTGGTGTTAGAGGTTGGAAGCTTATAGGCTGAGACTGTAGTGAGCACAGATAAAACAGTAACTGGTACCTCTGTCTATGCAGGGCTACAAGACTCAGGTGCTGCTCTCTAATGTGCACTACTGTGCCCAAGCACCACCAGACATACACCACTCTAAGACGCCTGCCTTTGCTTGCTCTGATCTATTCCCTGGGAAGTTAGCACAAGTTAGATTTCGGTGCTGTGCCCATTCTCCTTCTCACAGTCCAGGAGATGGATGAACTGGGCTCTTTCTCAGGGACTTAGCCCTTCTTAACATTTCCCAATCCCATCTGAGCATCTTTCCTCCCTAGATGAAGGAGTACTCTCATCTTCTTTTTTTTTGAGACGGAGTTTTGCTCTTGTTACCCAGGCTGGAGTGCAATGGCGTGACCTCGGCTCACTGCAACCTCTGCCTCCTGGGTTCAGGCAATTCTCCTGCCTCAGCCTCCTGAGTAGCTGAGATTACAGGCACGCGCCACTGTGCCCAGCTGATTTTTTTGTATCTTTAGTAGAGAC